CGCGTGAAGACCAAAGAGCTATTCGAGGAGTTCTACGCGATGGGCGACAGCGAGCGCCAGGCGGGCCGGGAGCCCATCGCCCTCATGGATAGGCTCAAAATAGACGAACAGCCCCGCACTCAAGTGGAGTTCCTTGATAACATATCCATACCGTGTCTCAAGTTGGTCACCATGTTCTTACCGGAAGCCCAGGGCTATCTGGATAATTCATTGTAAGCGCGCTTGTTACATTAAATTATTTATTGAAATAGACTGTAACTTAATATGTTGATAATTATATGGGTAGTTGAGTGCTTTTGAAAACAATTTTTCGGATACCATATGAGTTTAAATTATGACCTATCGTTTTGCTTGATAATTTATTAAATATATTGTACTTGAAATCTATATAAAATTTATAACTTATATAATAATATTATATTATAATATTATATTATAATATAAGTTATACATTATCTAATTTATATAGTAAAATGTAGTAAATGGGGTATCATATTATGAGTGTTATCACAATACTGAAGTTACCCAGTCATATGGCACAGAGTACATGTATTAATTTTGTATATTTCTACTAGGTGTAATTATTTATTAATTATAGTGGAAATAACTGCTTGCATTAGCACATAGCATAACTTCATAAATTCAATTTTAAAAATGCATAAATTATTATGCTTAATAATAATAATAATATTATGCTTATTAATAATAATATATTATATATTTTTTTAAAAATTAATTAATATCTCTCTCTCTCTCTCTCTCTCTCTCTCAACATCCCTGTCCACATAATTAGTGATAACCTGAACCACTGGCGGGAACTGATGAAAGAGTCGGAACAGAAGCGAAATACACTGAAACGGATGAACGCCGAGGACATGGCGGGGATACCGATGCCTCGTATCGGCGGCGTTGAAAAAGCTAAATCATTTCGACTATAACTTTCCCGAAACATGTGGGACACCCTGTACTGCGTATACATATAAAAATATATTATTCACATTATATATCTATATGACAAAAATATATATATCACAAAAATGTGTAACAATCAAAATTAATATAAATTATTATATTACAATGTGACATGTGGAAATATATTTAACATTTATAAAAACATGCTTTAACACATATTATACGTGCCATATTAAATGATCAAGGCGATTTACAAAAGTGAGATAATTGTTATATATCATAATGTGAAATTCTTAGAGTGAGAATAATTAGCAGTGTGATATTTTTAATATAATAAAATGGTGCCCCCTGGTCCTTATATGGCATATGTTATACTATTATATTATAAAATGTTATACTGATTGTACTGTATAAATATTAAATTTAATTTCAATTTTTATTTTAAATGTTTTTTTTAAAAATAATTTTCATTATATTTTCTATTATATATGGTTATTATAATTATCATAAATTCAATATAATATTATATTACATTGATTATTTTTCATAAAATATATAAATGTAAAAAATAACCATGACTTTAAAATAAAATTATTTTTATTCTAAAATATTATAAACCGATATTTATTTGCTAAATAAATCATTAAAAGTAAATTAGATATTTGACTAAAAAATTAATAGTGACCAGGCTATTTAAAACAATTCAATGATACCCTTAATAATATTTAAAATAAATTAAAACAGTATAAGTTATAAATTTTGTTTTAATTAGGGATAATAATTATTAT